AAAATAATATAATTTCAACAAATATAAGAAATATTACAATACACAAAACAACATCCTTATATCCCTCCATTAACCTCGAGCCGTAGCCCTCACTCGGTGCTAAATTACCCGGCCAAAGGTAGATTAGCCCGAGCCCTTACAAGCCACCTATTGAGCTCCAATAGGGCGTACCACGTGGCACATAAATACAACAACAATAGCAAGTTTCCCAACACCTCCCACATAATCAAATAAATTTATAATAATTTACACAATTATATAATATTATAAATTTATAATTTTCTCAATAATCACCCAATTAAATGAAGTAACACTAATCATAAATTAAAAGCATAGTTACCTCGTGGCTTTTTCAATAAATTATTCCTTAAAATTTCTCTCTCACCACAATCTTCACCAGTAATACAATCTACAAATAACATATTATTTATAAATATGTAGTTTTAATTTTGAAACTAATAAAATAATCTAATAATAGAATTAAAAATATAATATAATTCCTATTTCCAATCTTAATACAAATCTATAGTTAATACTATTAAGTAAATTTTTAAAATCCTCTTTTAATATATCAATAAATATTATAATCTAAAAATCAACTTCTAAACTAATTTCTATTATCAAAATTTTCTTTTTATTTCATAAATCGTACCTAAAATACCCAAAAATTAAAAATTGAATCTCTAACTTAGAATCATAATCCTAATAACCATAATAATTCATTTCTCGTCCCAAATAATCATCTAAACCTCAATAAATCAACATATATTTTCAGATCTAGTCTAGAATTTGATCCATAAGCCACAAATTCAAAGATCACCAATAAATTTATACTCTAGATAGTTATTATACTACTAACAACCTCAAAAACTATATTTATTCAATATAAATTCATCCCTCTTCCAGATCTTAAATTTTCTACCACTACTACAAAATCAGAAACCAAAGAAGAAGGATGACTAAGAAAAATTTTAGAACACCTACTTAGTCTTGAAAAGCTAAAATCATCACACCCTAAATATCCTATTAAAAACTCTTACCTTAAAACCCAGCACCGGTGAACTTGGCTCACAGATGCTCTCTCTGCCTCAGCTCACGCAAGAATGAATGAATGAAGAAATGAAAGGAAACGGGTGAGTTTTATAAAATTCAGTGGGTCCCACACATTTTTTTTTTTTACTCTTCCTCTCTCTTCTTCTTCTTTTTTTTTTTATTATTAAACATAATCATTGCCGGGAGAGCACCGAAAGTTCACTCCTTCTTCCTTTTTTTTTTAATACGTTTTCCCTTTTTTTATTATAATAATAATTTAATAATATATTTTTTTATTTTTTTTTAATTTTTTTTAATTATATCCTAAGTTAGATTTAATAATCATCTCTTACTAATTTTCTTACCTCTAAATATTATTTTTTTTTATTTCTATTAATTCAAATTAACTATTAAAATTTAAATTGGGATGTTACACGAATGGATACTTGATGAAAGACTAACACGTACAATTATGCATATTCTATTCATTTTTTTAACTTATTAAAGCCCAATAGATTGTTGTTAACTTTAAATGAGTTGTTGTTAAAACTTAAACGGATACTTGTTAATGAAAGACTGGCATTTACAATTATGCCAATTCTATCCTTTTTTTCTAACTTATTAAAGCTCAAACGGATTATTATTAACTTTGAATGAGTTGTTGTTAAAATTTGAATAGATATTTGTTGATAAAAGGCTAACACTCACAATTATGCCAATCCTATCCATTTTTATTAAAGTCCAAATTGATTATTGTTAACTTTTGAATGAGTTGTTGTTAAAACTCGAATGGATATTTATTGATGAAAGACTAGCACTCACAATTATGCCAATCCTATCCATTTTTCTAATTTATTAAAGCCTAAATAAACTGTTATTAATGTATAATGAGTTGTTAAATACAAATGAATATTTGTTGACAAAAAACTAATACATACAGTTATAATCATTCTATCTATTTTTCTAACTTGTTAAAACCTAAATAAATTATTATTAATTTAAAATGAGTTATTGTTAAAATTCAAATAAATATATGATATTAATGATTAAAAGTATATGTCTAATAGAACAAGTGTATGAATAAACCTATGAAACTAGAGTTCCATGATCTTGACAAATTGTGGGAGAACGATAGTTAGGTCATAGAATATTAAATTAATGATAAATAAGTTTTCGACGACATGTTTTTATAAAATGAGTTATAAATATGAATCAAACAATTATAAATAAAATTTTTTGTTACAATTTAAAAATTAAATTTGATATTTAAATATGTATTTATACTATTAAAAATCTTAAATATAATTTCTGGATGAATATTTTTTAATTAATTTTTTATAAAACCTTATTGAATACTTGATTAATGTTAATTCAGTGTTTTGGATTTAGCTGTCATTTTTTATTTAAAAAAATCATACAGTACAATAAGATCAAAATCAAAGAAGCCGTCCCTTGCACATTGTCAAACCTTGGAAAATCCCAGTCTTAGATTGCAGCAGCTCATATACTGCCTCAAAAGTCTGAAGCTAATCTTCATTGCGCAGTTGGATCGCAACCACGACCCGACGTTACTGGGAATGGCAATCCTTCTCAAGTGCTGTGGAGGCTCTGGTTCTTATGCTACGAAACAACCTCGCACACCAATAGAAGATCTATGCCATCGCTTCTCTCTTACCCAACTGGGAAAATCGACCGACAACTTTGACAAAACCCGGAAGATCGGTGAAGGGCCCTGCGGTGAGGAGTACACTAGACTTTCATCTCTATCCGTTTTTTAACAGTCAACTGCAATAATATGGATGGTTCAGACTATATTATATTTTTTAAAATAAAAATTTATAAAAATTATAAATAATTTTAATGATTTTTTTATTTTTAATATAATTTAGATTTAAGTTAAAAGTTCTAATTTAATATTAAAATTTGTTTAATAGATGTATATTGACTATTTTGCACAATCTAAATTTAATTTGGTGTTAATTTAGATTTTTTTTCTTAAAGTTTTAATGTTGATCTCTGACTGTTAAAAAATTAAAAAATTACAATCAAATTTTACATAAGAAATTAATTACTGCAACTTTGTAAAGTTTATTGATAAATGAACTAAACTGTATTGATAACATAATTAAATTTTTTTTAAGAACACCCAAACTCTAACATTTTTAAATACACATTTACCTTTATTACAAACAACCATATTCGTATGCTAGATTGGATGTTTTTTAAATTAAAATTATAAGTTTAATGTTTTTATGATTTTTTTAAATAAATATATTTGCACGTATCGAAAACAATATCATATCTTATATTTTTAAATATAAAAGTATCGATAATACATATCATATTTGATATGTATATTAGTATCTGTGCAACATAGTCCTTAATGTTCTTTTACGGTGACTTGGTATTTCAAAATATTGCATGTTTTGATAAAGTTTCAAAAGAGAAAACCCAAGGAGTGGCAGAGGCACCTCTATATCCATAGCCCCTGCGGACTTTTAAAAAAAAAAAAAAAAAAAAACCAGAAATTCCTGGGGACTTAATGCACGCTAGGCTCTCCGATAAATGCAATGTCTATAATTTTGGAGTGATTTTGTTAGAACTAAAATGTGGCATATACAAAGACCACGCCATATTGGGGGGATTATTTTTGTCAGGAGGATGAACTTTTGGATGAATATTGTTAAGCAAGTAAGGATGAGTGATTGAGATTGAACTCGGTGAGGTTGAACTCCCAACCTTATATAGTTTTCCCATGCTTTAATTTCTTCCTTGATAATTTCTTCCGTTTTATCTTTCAGCCGTCCCGACTCTATGTATCTTTCTCAACCACAAGATTTAATTCTCTTCTTTATATAATTAACATATAAATATTAATGTTACTTTTAATTATTAAAACATATATTATATCGTTTTTCTTTCTTTGCCCAACATATCCTTTTTATTGATCGATCTCTTAGCAAAACCCATATTGAAATGCCAGCATTAGTTGCAAGAAGCAGTTTAGAATATGAAAACATGCATGATATATAAACTGAAGCAGATTTAACTTGGGAGCATATATATAGCGCGCGATACATAACAGCATGGTGTAGGTTTAATCATGCTTCATGAAAGGACTAACAGCAAACAAGTCGAGAGAAAAGAAAACATCTGGTTAAGTTGTGTTTCAACTCCAGCAGATCACAGCTCTTGCTGCATATGGAAATAACATTTTCTACTCTTTAATATAATGTCAAAATTTGTAGCTATTGGCCGTAGAAAGATGTCATCCAAAGGTTGTCCTGCAGTAAAAAATGAACATATATATACACGTATGTATGTTATCAACGATATATAGAGATATACACATACCAATCCTTCCGCCAGTTTATTAATGAAAAATCAACATCAGCCCAAAATTGATATTATTAGAGTTGAGATCAACTTCGAGTCAACTGTTGGAATCATTATTGGAGTTAATTAATTAATCTAATTAATTTGAGAAAACGATGATCTAACTATTCAAATGAATCAGTTACGGTCAAAATTATAATCAGGCCACGCCCTCCTAAATTGACCAATTATTAGGACATGGGATGATGGGACAGATTTTTCAACCTTGCATAGGGCGTAATGAAAGAAGAGGAATTCTCATATGGAGGATTAGAACATTTAGCTAGGTAGTTGGCCTATTAAGTGTTAATATATTTTCATCTAATATAATTAAAAAAGGTAAACTTTTAAATATTAATAATATTAATAACAAAAATTATTTTTCAATGAATAATATATAAAAATTCACATTTTTTTGATTTAATTGAAAATAAAAAGAAAAAGAATTACAAAAAGTGCATAAAATATTAAATTACCTTACTTACCCTCAAGCCAACTGATGTAAAACAGTATAACAAAATAAATTCTAAGTTAAATCAAATATAATTTTCATTACTAGCTCAGCATTCATCTCTCTCCTCCCTCTCCCCTTTCAAACCAACTACAGCTATCTAGAACTATGATTGTAGCTAAGTCCACTAGAGCACATATTTGAATTTGTGCCTCACTCTTTCGGTCTTATTTATAAATTATTTTTACTAACGTTATCAATACTAATATAATAAAAATATAAAGAATAAAAATTAGTGAAATTTCAAACATGACCTTCAAAAAATAAATAAATTTTATAATATTATTTTTTTTGTTTTTTTCTCTCTTCTTTTTTAAAGATAGTTTAGACATTTTATTTAAAATAAAGCATCACTGTTAATCCAATAATTTATAAGCTAGACTACTTTATCCTTTTGGAAGGTGACTAATAAAGTTGACCGAGGGAATTGTCTATGCGTCTTCTTGCAATGATGCTCGGTTGGCTTTATCTCTTCCAAAGCACTCATCCTTCTGGTTGTGAGATTCTTTCATTTTGCATTTTGATTGATGGAATTCTCGTCACAGATTGCCCCTAATTTGGTCTTTCATGAAAGGACAAATATATTGAGATTGTCTGTCATTTCATATGGGAGAAATCGCAAGAAGGATTAATCGCATTGCATCATGTATCTCATCAAAATTGCAAGAAGATATATGTACCAAAGCATTGGGTAAAGCAGGTGATGAGAGAATGTTAGTTAAGTTAGGAGGTTTGAAAATTTTCAATTCTAGCTTAAGGAGGAGTGTATTTAATTGATAATATTAGTTTTGTTATACAAAGTTGAAAATATTAGTTAATTGATAATACTTCTTAATATTAGGTTATTGCAGATTGGGCTTGTTTACTTCTGTTTGTATTGGGCAGTAGGTTTAGTTTGTGTATTCATTTCTGGATTACTTTCTTGTTTTGAAACAAGGCCTATGTATAGTTTGTCCATGTCGTATTTGTCAAGTCAGGGATTGTCATTTCACATAGACAAGCCCAGATGGTCCAACAAAATATTATTCAATTTTTTTTTGAATTACAAGGCCACAGTAAAACCAAACAAAGAGATTAAGATCTAATCATATCTAAAACTATGAGGTTTCTACATTCATGCAATGGGTACATCAAAAATCATAATATCAAAGGTATCATGCGAAAGTCGGTGAGCTAAGAGATCAGCACATTTGTTTGCTTCTCTATGAACATGGTCAAAAGTGACCATCCAATCTCGCATAACAAGATCTTTGATCTTTTTGATAGTGTTAGAATAAGGGTGACTCTCAGAATAGGTGGGTTAATGAGTGACAATGCCTCCATCGAATCAGAATAGATATTGACTTTTGGTAATTTTGCATTCCAACAAAGATTTAGTCCCTCAAGTTTTTGACTCATTCTACTCTCCATTACAAATCCGTACATTTAAAATTTTAACAGTCTTTAGTTTGAGGGAAGAGGAGAGAAAAGAAAATTGGGAGAGTTTCAATCAATGATCATGAAGGGAACTTAATTATTAATAGATCCTAAAAAGATTTAAAATTCTAGTTTAGTCTAAGAGAATTAAAGTGAAATAATTTTAACGGTGAAAAGATAAAACTAGCATTCATTTGTCATGCAAAATTATTAGTTATTAATTTTCTTACTTTACTTGTTAATTTATCAATATGAATTATAAATTTCATTCATTTGTTAAAAATGAATGGCATTTTAATCAATGGCATTTATGATTAGATATTAATTAAACGGTCAATATTTAAGAAATTAAATAAATTGGTCACTTTTACGATTAGGTGGCATTTTTTTTTTCAAGTCCTGAAATGAAGAATTCAGTCCAATCTAGCTAGGGGCAGTGCACGGCATGCTAATGTTGAGTCTTCAAAAAAAAAAAAGAAAATGAAAGTGTGAAATTGAAATTAGATTACTCAATCGGGTAGGTACGTCTAGTCTAGACAACATTCATCTCCTCTCTCATCCAATCGCCCTAACCTAATCGTAAAATGCCATTGATTAAATGCCATTGAATTAGGATTTTGTTTACAATAGCGAAAAATATTTAGCTTCTATTTATGTATCAACTAAATGGTCAATATTTACGGGATTGGATGGATAATCACTTTTGTACCAACTTTGATAACGTTATGAGCTTTTTTGCTCCTGACCTATGACTTTGTGGGTATTTTTTTCCTTTATTAATCCATTTCAATAAAGACTGACACGCGACATGTACAGTCAACATTTAACAATTAAAGTTAATGGCATTAGATCAAAGTTAACGGCTTGATTACTTTTACACATATCCATGTAATGTTATGAGTGTTTTTACATTTTTTCTCACTTTAAGATATTAGGTGCTTGTGACTGATCACTTGTAAGTATTTTTACCCTTTATGTAAAATTTGATCTAACACTATTAGTTAAATGTCATATAATTTAACATAGTCAATGCCACATTATTATTCCTCTGGACATATTTAAAAATAAAAAGACTAACATTGCAAATAAGAAAAACGAACCAAAACAAAATATAAAAATCAATAATAAAACACGATAAAATTATATGAATTAATGACCAGCAGAGCCCATTGAATTTTTGAAATTAGCATCCTTCGCTGGGGGAAGTTCCTTAAGGCAGAGAAACTTGAACTTTTTCAAGGAAACAAAAATGATCCGTCAACTGATGCTGACAAATTCTTTATAGAGCAGTCTCAGATGAAATAAGGCGAGGCCCACTATTGTGAAAGCATTAGAATCCAAATCTTGATTATACTGCAGTTCGTCCCCTGCCACAAAAGGAATGGCAACCCTTCTCAAGTGCTTCGGAGGCTCTGCCTCTACTTCTAGGAAGAGGAACAACCTTCCACAACCGTAGAAGAGCTTTGCCACCGCTTCTCTCTTTCGCAACTTGAAGAAGCGACCAACAACTTTCACCCCACCCGAATGATCGGTGAAGGAGCTTTTGGTCCCGTATACAGAGGTGGCCGCATCTCTATCGATGGCCAATCAATAGAAATTGCAGTGAAGCGTATACCTCCAGGTAATTCCTTCCAGGGCCGTTCTGAGTTCGAGAACGAGATCGTGATGATGTGCCAGCTACACCACCCCAATCTAGTGTCTCTTGTTGGATTTTGTGACGACAAAAATGAAATGATCGTGGTCTACAAGTACGTCCCAAACAATTCCCTCTACTATCAACTTTATGAGCAGCATGGCAAGTCGTCACCGGTTGAGCCGTGGAAGAAAAGGCTAGAAATCAGCATCGGAGTAGCGCGTGCGTTACAACTACCTTCACTCAGGAACCAAACGCACCATCATTCATCGCAGTGCAGAACCGGGTAACATTATTTTGGACGAGAATTGGAATCCCAAGCTCACATATTTCGGGCTTTCTATAAAAGGACCAAAGTTTTCGGCAAAGGAGGCAAAGCCCATAAAGCTGGACGTGGTTGAAGGTCCGTGGGGATATATAGCACCCGAGTGCTGGGCGCTTACTAATGTCACATATAAATGTGACGTCTATTCTTTTGGAGTGATTTTGTTAGAACTGATATGCGGAAAGATGATGTTCCAAATTTGTGAGCATGAGGGGCGTCTTATTGAGAGTGCAGATGCTACTTTATTTGCATGTAGTGTGGTTAAGAAAGTACGAAATGCAGCCGAGAATGGGAATATGATGAGGGAATTATTGATCCGAGATTGGAGGGACAAATAGCGCCACAGTGTTGGAGACTGTACATGGACATTATAGAGAGTTGCTTGAGCGTAGATCCCCACGAGAGGCCAGACATGGGCGATGTTGAAGTGCAACTTGAACGCCTATTACAGCTGCAAGAAGAAGCAGATCATGCCAATCATGGGTTTTATTCTTTCCTCATTTAATTGGGGAGAATGACATTTAAGGCCCAATAAAAGCCCATAATTTTTGTACTGGATATTGTCTTGTAAAAGCATGTCTATGTTATTGTTAGAAGCTAAACCTTAATTTACATTTTTTGTTAGAATTTCCTTAAAATTTAATAAGTTAAGATTTAATTTTTAACAATAATATATATGTAACGTCTCATAATCTTTTTATATTATTGCCTGTGATAATCTCTTCCTTCTTGTGATGCCTTAGATAGTTGGACATTTGGATTGGTGCTTGTAAATCAGAAAGATTCATATTAATTTTAAAAAACTTAACTTTTAGTCTTATACTTTACTTGCACTTTGTTATTTGTTCCTGCACTTTTTTTAATATTTTAGGTTTTTACATTTTTGTTTTTTATTATTTTAAATTCCTCCATAAACAAAGTGTAGAACTTTGAAGGGACCTAAAACAATAAAAACAAAAATATAGAGACCTCAAGTACTTAAAAAAAGTACAAGGACCAAAAACAAAACTCGAGTAAAGTGTAAAAACCCAAATCTATGTTTTCCTATTGATTTCTTGTTATGGTATATTATATGAACCAACATTTGACGTCCCCACGAGGCAAGTATTATTCGATAGTTTAATGGTCACTATATTCATGATTTTTTAAAGGAAAAATGATAGTTAGGTCTCCCAAAATATTGAATTAATATCAGTTAAGTCTCCAATAATTTTTTTTAAAAAAATTGAAATATTGATCCAAATATTACAAATTCAAAAGTTCGATTGCAAATAAGTATTTAAAAATTAAATATAATTTTTAGATTATAATAGAAAAGTTTGTTTGTAACTGTTTGAATTAATATTTATAATTCATTTGTAAAAAATTTTATTGAGGACCTAATTGTCATTAGTTCATTTATTTGGGACCTAACTATTATTTTTCTTTTTTAATAATTTAATAATAATAAATATTTTCTTTTATTATTCTTCCATATTATTTATAAGATATTTTTTGATAAAATTACACATACAAATAAAATTTATTAAATACACTTTATAATTATATCTTTTTAAAAATATAAATATAAATTTTTAAAAATACTCATCATTTAATATAATTTTATTTGTATGACGTTAAACAAAGAGAGGAAATATAACATAAAGAAGGAAGGGTAGTATTAAAATAAATATGATTAATAAAATTTTATTTTTATCAAGACTGAATGTGTCTTATATTCTAGAATATTAAATTATCTTTAAAAATGTATTATAAAGTGACGCAGATGGAGTAGTTAGTAAATAACAAATGGATGGTTAGCACTGTTGGATGATTATTATTTTACTGAGAATATTGGTTATATTTTGGCATTTGGTAGGAAGCTACGACAAAAGATGGTGGCCCCCATACATGTAGTGATTGACTTTGGTTGGAATTAGTTTCAGCACTCAGCACACTTATGAGTGTGATGGTGCTTAATGTTGTACTGAAATTTAAATTATTTAAATTTTAATTTGAATGATTTAGATTTAAAATATTATTATATTTTATATTTATTAAAATAAAAATTATAAAAGTTGAGCACCATCATGCTCATCAGTGTGTTGAGCACTGAAATCAATCATTTTCTAACTAAAGCTAAAGATAGTGGTTGTAGTTGGTGTTGACTTATATAGAATATTTGGCCGTAGTCGGTGCTCACTCAAACCTAAAATCAATTAATAATGTTGGCTAATATCTTACATAGATCTTAACTATTCTAATTAACTATTATCTCCTATTCCATCGCTTTCGTTTCAATCCCTAAATTGAGGAAGTTTAGCTTTTTGGATGTATGTACAATACAATGCCACTCTATAATGGATCATCTGCTAGTAAACAACCTTCCGTGACCATCTTTATCCGAAAAAACAAAAAAAACAAACACCTTCCGTGACCATACAAGAGTTCTGCCAACGCTTCTTTCTTTCCCAACTTCAACAAGCAACTGACAACTTCAACGAGAACCGCATAATAGGTCGAGGAGGTTTTGGTACGGTACACAGAGGTGGCATCTCTGTTGATGGCAAACCATAAGATTTTTTTTTTGGGCTACAAAACCAAAAGAAATTGCAATGAAGCGTAGATCTCCGTATTCCTCACATGGGCTCTTTGAGTTCAAGAACAAGATCCTAATGATGTACCAGCTACACTACCCAAATCTGGTGTCCCTCGTTGGATTTTGCGACCATAAAAATGAAATGATTGTGGTCTATGAGTACATGCCTAACACATCCCTCTGCGATAAACTTCATAGAATGGATAGCACCTCACCGGCACTCTCGTGGAAGAAAAGGCTAGAAATCAGCATAGGAGTAGCGCATGCATTGCACTACCTCCACGTAAGTAACCAAGCGCGCCGTCATCCATCTTGCTCTAAAAATCAAGTAACATTCTTTTAGATGAGAATTGGATTCCCAAACAACTCAACGAGTTCAGGCTCTCTTTTAAAGGACTAAAATATTCGTCTAATGAAAAAGCCAAGGAGGTTAATATAATCAAAAGAACCTGTGGGTACATGGTTCCTAAGTATGCCATGCGACGTCTATAATTTTGAAGTGATTTTGTTAGAACTAATATGCGGAAAAGGACCAAATTATATGAGGGTGATTATTGATCAAGTGGAAAGCATGGATGAGGGGAGTGTAGAAAAGATTATTGACGCAAATTTAGGAGGAGAAATAGCAACGGAGTGTTGCAAATTGTACATGGACATTGTACTCAGTTGCATGAGTGAAGATTCTGACGAGAGGCCACATATGGGCCAAGTGGAGGTGGAACCAGAGCGTGTGCTAGAACTACAGCATGAAGCAAATGCCAATCCCCACTTTCATTCTTTCTTCTACCTGCAACCTCCCTTTTGGTTGTAATTATTGCATTTCTTAAGAAAATAGCTTCTTTAATTTCTTGAGAATTCTGTAATTATTGCATTGAGAATTCTTTCTTTGATAACAAACTTATCATTCTTCTGTTGTGAAGTATTCATGTGTCCCAAAAATTGTTTTTGCATTCAAGGAAATAGATTTTTATAAAAGCATCCACATGGAAGAGAAAAACCATTTAATTGTTTCGTGAGGCATAGCTTCTGTACTTTGAGGCCTGCATTAGGACTGAGAAAACATTTTAAAAGGAAACAAGAGGAAAAGAGACGTATAAGTTTGAAGTGGTGACTCTAGTCTCAACCTTGTTTAATTTGCATCAAATCTGCCAATCTATTTCTTAATAGAGATTCTTGGTTGGTCAGAAGATCAACACATTATCTTGGGCATAACAAGTGTCCATGAAGCCAAGGAGAATGGCCCAGGGACTGAAAAGAATGTGAAGTTGATTATACTGGAAACCAATAGAACAGAGTCTATCATGTGATGTCGCTGGTGGCCTTACAACAATGCAATGTGGTCGTGTCGTGCATTGTCAAAAGCTACTACCAAGCAGTAGTTGCCTGTGTAATTCACCCCTTGGATATTTGGAAAAACAAAAATAGTTTGATTCTTATGGTCGTGGTAACTGTACAAGAGGTAAAGAAATATGATTATCGGATACTATAAATCAAATTACCTCACTGTTCACGCAGGCTAAAATAATACAGTAATATTGACTACAGTAGACAACAATTGGAATACTTGCTTGTGCCAATACATCCAAATCTATTTGAACTGATCATTACTTTTTTCCTTAAAAGGCCCAAAGATGTTCTCCCTTCGTGAGATGGAAGTATTCAATTTTTTTTAAAATGAAACTCATTACTAGATTTTTAACAGATACAGAATTTTAAAAAATAAAAATATTGACAAAAACTTATAAATATAAAATTTTAAATCTAAACTATTTAAAGTAAATTTAAATAATCTAGATGTTATACAAAGATGAGCACCGCGATGATGATGATGACTGTTATGAAGCAAATTTAAGTGTTAGAGGGAGTCTAGAAAACGCGTAATTCAAAGGCTAGATGAAGCAATGCATAGATATGATTCGAGTGTTGCCCGGCGTACGCATCAACCATCGCGTTGTAAATTCAAGTAGTATTCTGCTGGATGAGAATTGGATTCCCAAACTCACCAATTTTAAGTTTTCTTTAAAAGGACCAAAATATTTATCAAAGGAGAAAGCCAAGGAGGTAGGTCAAATCCGCCGCAACCTTTACCACATAGCCCCTGAGTTTACTTTTTACATGTAGGATCTCAAGTAAATGCGACGTCTATGGTTTTGGAATGCTTTTGTTAGAACTAATATGAAATGTACGGCCGATCCTTATTCACAAGGTAATTTCTGAGGACTATGCTTCGCCATCTCTCATAAATATAGCTAAAGGAGTAAGGAATCTTGAGGAAAAGGGAAATATTGAGAAAATTATATTTGACCTCAGCTTGACAGGAGAGATAGAACAGAGTGTTGGAGATTGTACATGGACATTGCAGAGAGTTGCTTGAGTGATGATCCTGATGAGAGGTCAGATATGGGTGAAGTTGAAGTCCAGCTTGTAACGTGCACTGCAACTGCAGCATGAAGCAGATGCCGATGGATCATAGTTTCATGCTTTCTTCTTCATTTAATTTTCTTTTGTTTTCATCTTTCTGCCGTCCCAACTCTATCATTCTCTCCCACTGTATAATAATTGCCTTCTTCATATATTAATGTATACATGTTTATAGTTATTCAAACGTGTAAAACCTTTTCCTCTTCCTTTTTTGCTAACATATTCTTTTTATATATATGTAAAAAGAGCGTGAGCTCTTTGCTGCTATCTAAACATTACGCTAGTCTTACGAGTTGGGAGCAAGTGAAATAAAATTCCACAAAAAATTCTCCTATAATCTATGTAGCACGAGCACTTCAAAAAAGTAAACGTAGCCGTATTTGATACGATACTTATAGGATACTTCTGCATACGTATCCTATATACTAACATTTATGATATGATTTTTTTTCAATAATTTTTTACTATATTACTTAAAAACTTGAAAAAACACTTAATATTTTAGTTAATTACTGTAAATATTCTTATATTACTTTAGAAATTTTTGTTTAAAAATTAAGATACCTATACTTATATCATAAAATGTTGAAATATATATTATAAATATTCTCGTACCTGTATACTAAAATTTTGAAAATTTTCCGTATCCCCGTATCATATTGTATCGTATCAGATACTTACACCCGTGTCTATACAACCTAGCCTATAATCCCTGATCTATGATCATGAGACTCTAATGAATTCAAAATGATTATAGTTAATCTAATTAAGGTATTCTACAACATTAATCTAGGATATTCCTCCCCGAGTTGAGGAACACAGGTCATCAATCCCCAGGTTGTAGAAGCTCCAATCTCCCATTATTACTATTCAACCCGTCTAATGTAGATTGTAGTTAATCATGGCAGAAGTAAGGAGTTGGGTGGAAAAGGGAAATGCAGAAAAGATTATAGATCCAAATATAGCTACAGAGTGTTAGAATCTATACATGGACATCGCACTCAGTTGCATCAGTGAATATCCTAACGAGAGGCCACGTATGGGCCAAGTGTCCGGAGGTGGGACTAGAGCGTGTGTTAGAACTACAGCAGGAAGCAAGTGCCAGTCCCAGATTTCGTGCTTTCTTCTAGCTGCATTTTTCCTTTTGGTTATTATTATTGCCCTGACTTTTGTGAATGATTTCTTGTTGTTAATTCCAATGTCATATCTTAAGAAAATATTTCTTTCTTACCCAAGAACTAATGAAATTAAAAGGCCTCAAAAATTTATCTTCTTTCTTCAGCATCGAGAATTCTTTCTTTATCAACAAACTTATCGCTCTTCTGTTCCCAAGTATAGAGAAAAATCATTAATTGTTTCAAGAGGCATGTGTAACTTCTGTGCTTTGAACGCGCATGGTGTGAGCATTTTTGACGTTATGTCCTCAATCTTCTATGAGCATATGAGATTGAAACTGTCTATCGGTTTGCAAGTCGATCTGCATGTATTAATTAGTGTGAGAAAATGGAGTGCAGAGACATATCTTTGTCGACTCCAATAATGATACCTTCAACAGTAATGCTTGGCCTTGTTTTTGTCTCACCGCAACTCGATCGCAACGTCGGATACAATAGATGCACTGGAACTTACTTGAGAGAGAGGAGGGAGAGAAGCAGAAGACAGAGCACTCTCGTTCTCTCAACATAAGTTTTCATGGAGGAGGGTAAAAACTAAATGTGCCTGTAGTTATCAAATGCCCCACATTACACACTGATTAGGGGAGAGCATTGGTTAAAATGTTTCAGTTCAGTTCGAAATAATTAAAACCGACAAACCGAAGTAAAATAGTTTTCTTAACTGAACCGAATCAAAATTTTATAAAAACTTAATTAAAACCGAACTAAAATTTAATGATTTAATTCAGTTATTCATTTCGGTTATTGAACTTCTTAGTGAGCATATTGGGCTTGCTTTTTATCAACACATTAGGCCTTTTTGTCAACAAATTGGGCCTGTTCCCAAAAAAATAAATTGTGCCTTTTTTATCATCACACGCCCTTAAGAAATAAATTTCTCCAACTAAAGTGGGGAAAAAATAATTTGAGGAAAAAACATGAAGAGTTGCACTAAAGAAATCAAACAAAAGGGCGTGGAAGTGGAGTTTGGAAACTGGGCAACATGAAAAGGCATAACAAAATAAAGAAATCGGACATAATGGTGTGGGCACTACTCAAGAAAGCACTTGTATTATTTTTTTTTTCCTACCAAAGAAAGCAAATAACTGATAAGTTTTACATATAATTTATAAATTTATAATTGAATTACTGTAAATTCATAATAATCTATAATAATCCATCACATAATAATAATAATCTCTTAAAAAACTACAAATAAGTTCAACAGTTTGAACATAATCCAACATAACTTACAATACATCATCACAAAATATTAAGCAAAATAACAAAAGATAATCAATCAATTACAACTTGTAAGTTTCCAGTTGCCAATGATAGTCTCTACGGCATGCAATGAGAAACAAACAATACTTGTTTCTATCGCCTAATTAGTAATTTCTTTAAGTTTAGCCTCTCATTCATTCCAGTATTGTGTATCTTTTCCTTCTCAAGCGGTCTTGGACTGGTGCTTTTTAAAGAAGAAACTTTTATATTTCATTTTCGCTGTTTTTTTTATTAATTACAGAGATACATGTCTGAAGTTAAGTGTCTAAGTCATTGGTCAAGATGACAGTATAGCTGCTTATCTCAGAAGGAGTATCCATGACATGGTGCTTAAATTATATTGGAACTCATTTGCTATGGTTAAACACATTTGGGAAGACTCAAAAAAAAAAAAAAAAAATCTTTAGCAGCAACCAAGCTTAACGGTCATCATATACATTGCAAATTGCTGGTATATTATGTTTGCCAGAAACCACATGTTCTGGAAAGTCACATGCAATAGTCAATGACAGCAAGTCTAGATATTTTTAACAAGTTACAATCGTGCTTTTAGATGCTTTTAATGGTGATTTAGCTTATCGTGACGTATCACTATCAACATTTTACCATGGTTTTTAGTGCTATATTAGAGCTATAAATCTGCTTTTGTTTTGAAGACAAGGAGAATGGTCCAAGGACTGTAAAAGATGTGAGGTTAATTAGTGCCGGAAAAATACTGGAAAACAACAGAACGGTGGGGGAATGCCAGAGTCCATTATGTGATATCCCAGGTGGAGTTACAACAATGCATGTGGTCGTGCAGACTCCTTCTGGGGATAAAGGTCTGGTATCTCTTTGCTGTCACATCAAAAGTTGCTATCAATAGTTGTCTGTATCTCTGAGCTTAAGGATGCTTAGTATTGTTCTATTTAACTTTTGACAGAAGCATGTTTTGGTTTAACTATCACTATTGGTTTTATGATTTGAGTTCTGTCTTTGGATCTTTTAAAAGACTCAAGGTGTTTTGTGCTTATGGATGGTCTCTTCCCTGACGGAAAGACCAGGCTACAAGTAGTAATTAAGTTGACTTCAGCAAAATCTATACCTTGATTTTTCCTTAGATTGTTATACTTCACTTACCAAAAGAAATCTGCAAACTTGTGATCACCCAAAAGTATTGGCCGTGTAATCCAGTTGTCAGACTTTTTCTTGCCAAAAAGTAACCACTAGCCGACAGCAAGCACCTGCTTTTACTCTTATCCATAATGATTTTTCTGTCTTCTTTTCTAGACATGGAAGAAAGCAGAAAGATTGAATTGGTTGAGTCCCCATTAACTTGATTCCATTGGAGAACCCTTCCTTCAACTATCCATTAATATTTCTAATTCTTCACATCACTTAAGTTCGCTTTCCTGAAGACTCAACTGCCTAACTATACTCTCCAATACAGTTCTAACAAATGTAATCCACCTACTCACGTAAAAGACATATAATTGTTTCAGTTCTTTTTCAATATTTTGAGGTTTTTTTTTTTTAAATAATTTGATGACTGATGTTTTTGACCTTTTGCTGTTTCATCTTAAACAGAGAAGAAACCAAGAAGGGAGCCAAAGCCGAACAAGTGTGGTTGTGTAATATTATAGCACTCCCGGCTGAAGAGATCAAAGATGACATCGTTCCTAGGTGATCAAGTGTTACACTTGCATTCAATTTTAACATGATTTCGGACTGCCATAGACTTCCTCATGACCCAGCTTTTATTTGCTTGTCTGGTTTGTAAACAGGTAAAGAGAAATTGGCCTGGTGAAGATTGTGATGCTAGTTATGTGGTGGTGGTTTCCTCTACGACAGTAAATCCTGTACACAATTTTCATAGGTGATGTTTTCCTTGGTGGTGTTTCATTGTTGGGTTGGCAAATTGTTTGTTGAAATGAAATCAACTATATACGTTGCCTTCATGCGCCTGATTATATATATATATATATATATTCTTCTCATGCCTAAAGGAATATGCTTAGCAGGGTTTAACGGGTAAACTTCTCGTTGCCTTCGTGCTTGTTTAAATATACAGTTAAAATAAATTTAGAAGCCATGTTATGTATAAAAAAAAAAAAATTAAGAACTTCGCAGTGTCGCTGTGGGTGGCAAGTGCGATTATTGCAAGCGAATGTTTGATTATTCTGTTATGGAGAGAAATAGATTCTCCTATTACGCAGGGAGATGATTTTGCAGCTGCGGGCTACGGCCTTGCTTGTAGCGATTTTAGGACATGAAGTAATTTTCTGTAAAATAGTTTGAATTCGATGCCGTGATTCTCAAGATATTACACAAAATGTATAGAAATATTCTTAGATGCTTTTTCTTTTTATCTTTTTAGATGTGAAAGCACAAAGTAACATTTGCTAAGTAATTATTGTTTAGATTATTTGTGTCTACGTTAAATATAAAACATCATTCAAATAAGTCACAGGGTTAGTTGGGCTGAGTAATTGAAGCATCAAACCTAATATAAATGAAAGAGGCCGGTCTCAAGGTTTAATAAAGGCCACAATAAGTAAACATGCCGAAATCCTGTCAGTTGCAAATATTAGACCGTTGGCACAAAGATATAATCTTAAATAATGTCAAAATTTACGCCCAAGTATTTCAATAAAACGAGATGGTTATTAAAATGGAGAAACCGTACCATAAGTTTCGCAAGATTCCTGATTCTTCGACAGAATGTGCTAAATTTTAAGAAAAAGACTACCGTTATTCTGACACTATAAATAGAAAAAGAAAATATAGAAGAAACTAGTCAACACTCTATCAAAGACTCGCAAATTTTACATTCATTAACCTTTTTTAATTTTTAGTTTTTAGTTTGTAATCTGTTCATATTTCAATAAAATTGATACACTTATTCTATCAAAGTCTTGTATCTTTTTATATTTGAATGAAATGTAATAAGGAAGGTTGGGACTCTTTCGTTATCTATTGAGACCTGACATCTCTGACATGTCTGATATTTATTATTCAACCATGAATAATTTATTTATTTTATTTTAAATATGGACTTGGGGTGTTAGAAGCATAATGCCGTGCCATACCGTGCCATACCGTGCCATGCTGTCGTGGGGGTGGCACATCAGCTCGAACGCGCTGGAGCTGTGCTGATTGATTTTGGGTTTCCTGGGTAAATTTCTTTTTAATGCAAACTTTAAAAATAATTTATTTTTATTTTAACATAATGTCCATAGTTCATTTAATTTGAATTATTTATATTTATTTTAATAATCAAAATATTTTTAATAATCAAATAAATTTATTAAAATGAAATTTATATGAGCTATCATGGTTTTTCCCTTTCCCCTATGTCGAGACCTAGAGATATTCTTATTGCATTAGATGGGAATATTTAAATTTTTTTAAATGGCAAAAATTCATGGCATGAAAATATTATTCTAAATATGATTATCGAGTTATGGAGCCTTTGTATCATCGATAATGGGGAAAGTCATGCCTATTTTTTTTTATTTCATTCAGCGAATTCGACTTTTGCGTCAATTGACTTTGATAATGGCACAAAAAAATTCCACTTCGTAATTCTTCTTTGGGCCCCCGCGGGTGGGGCGGCCCGAATATTTTTGCTTTTTGGATGAGAAAATATTATCTAAGAATCATTGAAAAAAATTTATATTAATTAAAAATTAATATTATTTAAAAATATTAACTGTAGTCGGTGCTCGTGTTGGATCGCTGTTGGAGCCCTTGCCAGCTATGAAGTAGCTAGAGTCCTTGCCACCAATGAGGCCACCGGTGGCTAGTCACAGGATTTTTGATAACACTTTTATTTAAAAATAATTGATAAAGATGGCTAAAAGAGAAAATATTTGATTCAATGACCTATTAATCACCTAAAAAGTCTAGTGGTCATTAAGCTCTTTAATTATATATAACAAAAAAAATAATAAACCAAAATTTTAATCACATTCATGTTATAACATAATGATACATTATTAATTCTTAAACGGTGCATGTCATTTTACTAAAGTTACTTATAAATTTAATATGAACAATTACAAATTAAAAATTTTAAAATTTTATGCATTTTACTTGTTAAAAGTCCGAACATATTATTATTAATTATAAATTAATTGTTGTCAAAACTCGAATGAATACTTGTTAATAAATAACTAACACGTACAATTAAACTCTTATTATTTTTTCTAACTTGTTAAAAGCTAAATAGATTATTGTTGATGTCGAATGAATTGTTGTGAAAATATAAATGTATATTCGTTAATAAAGGATTAATACTTTATAAAATTAAGTCAATATTATCTATTTTTGTATTTGTTAAAGCCTGAATAAATTATTGTTAACTTAAAATGAGTTATTAAAACTCGAATGAATATTTAATGAAAGACTAACATGTACAATTATGTATATCCTATCTGTTTTTCTAACTTATTAAATCCAAATGAATTGTTAACTTTTGAATGAGTTGTTGTTAAAATTTAAATGAATACTTATTAATAAAAGACTAACGCTCACAATTATGCCAATCTTATCTATTTTTTTAATTTATTAAAGTCTAAATAAACTGTTATTAATTTATAATGAGTTGCTGAAGCATGAATAAATACTTATTGATAAAAGACTAACACATGCAATATACTCATTCTATCTGTTTTTCCAACTTGTTAAAACCTACATAGACTGTTATTAATTTAAAATGAGTTATTATTAAAATTCAAATGAATACATTATATTAATGATTAAAAGCACATGTCTAATAGAATAAGAATATAAATAACAATCATGTGAAATTAGAGTTCCATGATCTTGATGACAAATTGAGAGAATGATAATTAGGTCATAGAAAACTAAATTAATGATAAATAAGTTTTCGACTATATTTTTTTATAGAACGAGTTATAAATAGGAATAAAATAATTATAAATAAAAATTTCTATTATAATTTAAAAATTAAATTTAATATTTAAATATTTATTTATACTATTAAAAATCTTAAATATATAATTTCTGGATGAATATTTTCAATTAATTTTTTATAAAAACTTATTGAATACTTGATTAATGTTAATTCAGTGTTTTGGATTTAACTGTCATTTTTTATTTAAAAAAAAAAATCATACAGTACAATAAGATCAAAATCAAAGAAGCCGTCCCTTGCACATTGTCAAACCTTGGAAAATCCCAGTCTTAGATTGCAGCAGCTCATATACTGCCTCAAAAGTCTGAAGCTAATCTTCATTGCGCAGTTGGATCGCAACCACGACCCGACGTTACTGGGAATGGCAATCCTTCTCAAGTGCTGCGGAGGCTCTGGTTCTTATGCTACGAAACAACCTCGCACACCAATAGAAGATCTATGCCATCGCTTCTCTCTTACCCAACTGGGAAAATCGACCGACGACTTTGACAAAACCAGGAAGATCGGCGAAGGGCCCTACGGTGAGGCGTACAGGGGTTTCATCTCTATCAACGGCGAGCCCAAAGATATTGCAGTGAAACGGCTCCGATTACAAACACCGAATTCCTCATACGGGCTCACCCTTTACAAGAACGAAATCCTCTTTATGTGCCAGCTACGCCACCCGAATCTAGTGTCTCTTGTTGGGTTTTGTGACGACAAAAATGAAATGATGGTGGTCTATGAGTACATGCCTAACGGATCCCTCCGTGATCAGCTCTACGGAATGAAGAGCAAGTCACCGATTCTGCCATGGAAGAAAAGGCTAGAAATCAGCATAGGGGTGGCGCGTGGACTGCACTATCCTCACTCAGGGACCAAACGCACCATCATTCATCGCAATATAACACCGGTCACCATTCTTTTGGACGAGAATTGGATTCCGAAACTCTCATATTTCGGTCTTTCTTTGAAAGGACCAAAATTTTCGGCAACGGATGCGAAACCCATTGAGATAGATGCGGTTCAAGGCACGGTGGGATATATAGCACCCGAGTGCTGGGCTCTTGCTAATGTCACGTATAAATGTGACGTCTATTCTTTTGGAGTGATTTTGTTGGAACTGATATGCGGAAAGACTTCGTTCCAAATTTGTGAGTATGAGGGGCATTTATATGCTTCAGATGTTCCGTTATTTACAAATGGGGTGGTTAAGAAAGTACGAAATTCAGGGGAGAATGGGAAAAATGAGGAGGGAATTATTGATCCGAGATTGGAGGGAGAAATAGCGCCACAGTGTTGGAGACTGTACATGGACATTATTGACAGTTGCTTGGGCGCAGATCCCAACGAGAGGCCAGATATGGGCGACGTTGAAGTGCAACTTGAACGCCTGTTGCAACTGCAAGAGGAAGAAGCACATGCCAACCATGGATTTCATTCTTTCCTCTTTTAATTTTTCTCCTCCTTTGATTATCTTGTTTTATCTTTTATAGTAAGTAGATAATACTTAATTTTGGAAATATTACTCATTTATTCACGCCAGCAAAGTTTTATCTTTCATTCTTTCCTCACTTAATTTTATACATATTTCCTCATTTATTGAAGCAAAAAAGATGATGATGATGATGATAATACCCTCTTCTTTTAAGGTGACTTGGGTATTTCAAAATATTACAGCCTTATTTGGTATGTAAGTTTCAATTGAGGGGATTGAGATTGAAATTAGGAATAGGATTGAAACTGAGATTGAGAGTGAGAATGAGATCTTAAAATCATGTTTGGTATGGAGTAATACTTATGAAGAATACTTTCTTTTATTTTATTTTATTTTATAATTACATATAAATTATGAAAGACTATACTACCTCTTGAATTAAAAAAATTAATTAGAAACTCTTCAAAGAAGCCGCTGGTTTTGAAACAATTTGAGATGTTCTTCGTGCACGTCCTCTTTCTGTTAATTCCTAAGCTTCTTGTTGTTCCCATTCATGGCAGATTTTTGTTCTTCTTCATGCGCAACCAGTCTCTTGCCTCTCCCTCGTAAGGACAAAACCAGGTTCTCCTTTTACTTGCCTCATTGATGCCTCCACCACCATGACCACCAAGTGCAGGATGTATTGGAACTCATCACACTTCAAGAGCAAGTACAGTGACTTCATCTGGCATATCGAATCTCGCTAAGGTTGCCACCAGTAGAGGAGAGGCTTGGGTTGTCAGTCATTCTCCTTCTCTCATCTTTGATCTCCTTCTCCCTTCAAATCTGGCAGTGGCACAGGTAGAGGATGGTGTTAGCGTCAATAGAGGACTGCATCAGCATCAGTGGATGAGAGGGGCATGGTGTTAGCGTTGCTTAGTCTAAAATTGCATTGAGTGAGTGAGGGCTGAAGGAGAGAGACGAGGGTGAGAGGTGAGGGTAATTTGATCTAAAAATAATCAAACCCAAGATTAATTTTTTAATACCATAAGGGGTGGTGGTATTGGGTAATCCCCATGGGATTGAGATTAAATTTCTCACTTCCTCTTACCAAACATAAAAGGTATTATGTGAAGACTGATAAGCTAAAAAATCAGCACATTTGTTTGCTTCTCTATAATATGGTTAAAAGTGATCATCCAATTTACATGCATTAATTAGTGTAAAAAAATGGGGTGCAGAGATATATCTTTGTCGACTCCAATAAGGATATCTTCGATGGCAATGTTTGGCCTTGTTTTTGTCTCACGGTAACTTGATTACAACGATGAATACGAGTGCTTGACACACAATAGATGCACCGGAACTTACTTAGAGAGAGGGAGGAGAGAAGCAGAAGACAAAGCACTCTTGTTCTCTCAACATGAGTTTTCACAGAGGAGGGTAAAAACTGAACGTACGTGTGGTTATCAAATTATAGTTATTTTGTTTTAAATAAACAAAATAACTGTCCCTTCTGACGGGTAACCACCATAATGTAATAAAAATAATTATTAATATAAATATTTACTTAATTCAACTTGGGTTCTTGGCTCACTTGGCCCAATTTATCAAAGTGCAATCTAATAATTAAGATTCACAAAACCTTATGAAAAGCGTGACTTGACCATGCTGGAAAACATGCTTTCAAAATAATTGTTTTTCATTTTTTAGCTTTTATTTTTTTGAATTAATATAATCCAACAATCTTTTCTTTTCTTTTAAAAAGGAAAATACAAATATTGATTCCTATACTTTTAGGTGTTTTGGTATTAGCTTTATACCTTTATTTTGTTGTGCCAAATCCCTTGAATTTCATATATTTACAATGTTAGCCCTTATGAATTATGATCACTAACAGAGTTGATAAAATTATAATGAGTTGGATAATAAATGAATGAAATGGCTATTGATCTTTCTACTGTGCGTGTTTGTTTTTTTTTTTTTATGAAGCTTCATCCATTGGAAGTTTGAGGGATCTAATTTAATTTCTGGCTTTTTTTTTTGTCTTCTACTCTTTTTTATACAAATCATCATGATTTTAACAAGTTGATATAAAAAATAACATATTTTATGCACATATTAATCACTGTTAAGTCTTTAATTTATGGCCATATTTAAAAATGGGCTTATTTAGCAACTTATTTTGCAAACAGTTTTCTATTTTTTAAAATAAAAAAATTTGTTTAATAATGTATTTTTAAAAAGTATTTTAGAGAAAAAAAATAAAATATTATTTTGAAAAACAAAAAATAAAAGCAACTTTCAGGTGTTTTAAGATTATTGTTCTAGAGAATAAAGGAGAATGAAAAAAATATATATTTTCATTATTTTTTATTTTTAGAACATGTTTTGCAAAACACCAATTCTCAAAACAATAAAAATAGTTTTAAATAGCCGCATAGATACTACCATTGCAGATAAATAAAATTTAAGGGACTTAAAATAATGAAATAATATATATGGACTGAAATAAAAATATGCTAAAAATATAAGAACAAAAATTATATTTTCCCTTTTAAAAATCATTTTTTAAAAACAAAAGGTGGGAACAAAATCAAATAAGCTCCCATGTTTCGGCTCCATATCCTAAATGATCCAATGTAAATTATTTTTGTTAAATCCTTGGCAATCAGAATAAACATAACGTACTTTCATTAAAAGGGTCCAAGTCACTTTTACAATACCACGTGCCTTTTTTTTTTTTTAACCAGCTACAATAAGCAAAGGGTTTTAATTTTTTTTAACCTAAAACAATACCATAAGGTTATCCTTAAAAAAAATTATATCTATCAAGGTGCTTTATGTTTATGGATGGTCTCATTGGTAGAAAATAGAAATATTAAGTTCAGGACATGTAATTTCTAGTCATCTGCCAAGACACATGAGATGCATGCATGCCAATCCTTCCGCCAATTTTTCCCTGATAATGAAATTTCAATATCATGCCCAGACTTGTGATTATCAAAAGTTAAGATTTTTTGTTACATATAAGTATTTTATTGGAGACAATCTTGTTTGAAGTCTTGTTGAGCAGGATACTTCTTCTAGTGAAGATTCGAACAATGATTTGTCACGTTATGAAACTAACGTCTTTCACTAGACGCAACTCCCATTAATAAAAGTTAAGATCAATTTTGATTCAAGGGTTAGAATCAATTCATGATAATTAATCTAATTAAATTTCTAATATAATGCTCTGAATATTTAAATTGAATCAGTACAAGTAAATATAAAAAGTTTATATACAAAACCTAAATAAGAAACTTAATTATAAATAAGTATTGCAAATTTGTCAAATTACTCTCAAGTATTCTGAGATTTGGTTATTAATCAACGCATATAAATTTTTTAAAAATTTGTTATTTGTAGAAAAAATGTGTACTGATTATTCTAAAATATTATTTTTTCAATCATTTATATTGAATTATTATCAACATTATTTATACATTATGCAACAATTTAGTGATATGGCTAGTTTGGAGAAAATAATAAATATAATCTATAAAAGAAATTGAGGGCTTCCACAATATAATCTTAACAAACTTGTTGTTAAGATGTTTCTATTTTTTTAAAAAACAAAAAATAAGAACAGTTTTAGAAATTATTAAATTTAAAATACTTATTCAAGTGAGTTTTTTTTCCTAATTTTTTATTTTTAATAATAAAGCTATTTTTGAAAATGAGAACCAAATTAGATAGGCATTGATTCTCTTTGTTTTATTTTTTTGGCCATGTTTATTATATCTTTAAAATTATTATTTAATAGTAGTTATTATTTTTAGGATTAAATGGCAATTTGTCTTGAAACTTTTTCTCCCAAAAGCACCTGACACTCTAAACTTTTTTTGGAGTATTTTTGCTCTAAAATTTTCAAAAGGAGAGTATTTTTTTCCTAACCGTTAAATATAAAAAATGTGGACCATTAAACTAAAGTTTAATCAATGGTTAAATGACATATTTACTCTAAAACTTTTTTTCCAAGGACGCTGGGTATCTTAAACTTTTGTTTGGAGTTTATTTGTCCTAAAAGTTTCAAAAGTAAAGCAATTTTACCCTGCCATTAGTATTAACCATTACTTTGACTTTAATTACGACTTGTAGTCACGCAGCATTTTTAAAAAAATCCACCTAAATAGCAAAAATACCTTCATTATTATCAATAATAACAGCAAGAACAACTCCATGAACAGCAAGTAAGAACGACAATAAGTAGTTCAAAATTATCTGAACCCATACCTATATTCAAAAACAATCAATTATCCATTGAGTCAACCCATATAAACTCGACCACACAGAAACTTGCTTCTTATATATTCAAAAATTCCACCATCTTACTCAATTATGATGACACCGTGGACTCCAACCCTAACTTAGAGCTTTTGAGGGCTTCACGGCATCAAACTTGACCATGGAGTTGGTGGCGAAAGCAATGACTTGAATGTTACGTGAGGAGCATGTGGCGAGTAAGGGGAGGGTGATGACAATCTAGGGAAAGTTAAGAATGGTGAATTTTCCTTTGATAGATAGAGCAGTGATGTTGTAGGCTTGAACAATCATTTATCGAGGTTAAAAGTGCCAAACCAAATGTGAGACTTCTTGCAAGGCTCGCAAATCTTGGACACCCATTTTTCCCAGCTTTATAGTTAGACTCTAATCCATGTTAGTACGAGAGGTTACTAGTAAAAGAGGAGGATGGAGAAGAAGAGGAGGAGGAGGAGGGTAAAAGAAGAAGGGAGGGCAATTTGCTTCATTTTTAAAAGTTTCAAGGCAAATAAGTTTTAAATAAAAGTTCAAAATACCCAACGCCCTTAAAGAAAAAGTTTCAAGGCAAATATGTCATTTAATCCTTAGTTATACTTTAGTTTCACGGTCAACATTTTTATATTTAATAGTAGGGCAAAAATGCTCTCTTTTTAAAAAGTTTAAGCCAAAAATGTCATTTAATCCTTGGTTAAACTTTAGTTTAATGGTCCAACATTTTTTATATATAATGGTGAGGCAAAAATGCTCTCTTTTAAAAAGTTCAAGGCAAAAATGCTCAAAAAAAAAAAGTTTAGGGTGCCAGGCACCCTTGAAGAAAAAGTTTGAAGACAAATTTTTCATTTAACCCTTATTTTTTAAAGTAGAGATGAAAATTTTTAAAATAACTTTTTTTTTACATATATTATGTGTATCCAACCTTTTCTAAAATTAATTCACATTAATGCAATTATTGGGGGTCCCATTTATTTTAGCTTATTTCATAAAAAATTACTTTGCCTCTTGTAATTTTGTCTGTAAACTTTTCCTTTGACTCAATCCATATAATTACAATATCGGTCCCTATATTTTAAAAAATAAAGTTATAAAGATTTAAAATATTTTAAACTTTTAATATTTATATATTTATAAAAGATTAAAAGGTTTAGTAAATTAAAATATTAGTAATAAACTTTAACATGATTCTAATCTTTATTAATCTTATTTTTTAAGATTTAGGGACTAATATTAAATTATTATAAAAAAAAAAACTGAGTTGCAAAAGTTAAAATTTAAGAAGTAAGTTACAATCAAATAAAATTTAAGAATTGAGTTATAACTAAGTTAAAATTATAATTAAAGATCAAATGAATAATTTTTCATTTAAAATATATAAACACACTTTTATTCAACACATTAAATGCTCAACACCATATACTTTCAATTTAAAAATGGATTCAATAGGTGAGATGAAAAGTGAAGAGGAAATGAAGAGGGTGAAAATGGAGAGAAGTCGGGGCCATGAAAAATGTGACTTGATCGTGTTGGAAAACATGCTTTCAAAATAATTTTTTTATTTTTTAACTTTTATTTTTTTTTTGCATTATATATCCAACAAACTTTTCTTTTCTTTTATTTTAAAAAGAAAAATACAAATTAATTCCTATACTTTTAAGAGTTTTGGTATTAGCTTTATATTTTTATTTTGTTGTGACAATCCCTTAAATTTCATATGTTTGTAATCTTAGTCTTTATGAATTATGATCACTAGCAGAGTTGATAAAATTATAATGAGTTGAGTATTATATGAATGAAATGGCTATTAATCTTTTTGCTGTGTGTGTGTGTATTTTTTTTTTTATAAAGCTTCATCCAGTTGGATGTTTGAGGAATCTGATTTAATGTCTTGTTTTTCTTTGTCTTCTACTCTTTTTTAATACCACTCATCATGGTTT